CTCTGGGAAGAGGTCTGGCTTTCTGTGCTCTTGAACTCGGATGTGTGCTCAATCCACTCTACCCTCCTCTGAGCTAGCACTTTTGGAGTTGAGGGAATGGCAGGTGCTGAAATGACTGGACATAGACTGTGCAAAAGAGGGGACGCTCCTGAGTCCCTTAGACCAGAAAGAGCCATTAGGGAGCAAAGGAGCCTGGCTGCCAGGTGAAGAAGTGCAGTGCACAGGGTGAAGAAATGCAGTGCACAGGGTGAAGAAGTGCAGTGCACAGGGTGAAGAAATGCAGTGCACAGGGTGAGGAAATGCAGTGCACAGGGTGAAGGAATGCAGTGCGCAGGGTGTTTTTGATTTTTGACACAGGGTTTCTAATAGGGTGAATCTCTGAAACTGGAATTAAGACAACATGTTTAAATATTTCCTGTATAATAGTGGCTGTGGTTGTGCTGACACTTCATAGCAATAAAAACACTAAGACACCCAACCATTTCTTCATGCTTCCCATTGCCAGCCCTACACTGAAGCTCATGCAGATTCCAAGGTACAGGCACATCCTGTAGGCTTTAACGGACGCTGTAACAATACGTGACACACAATTACTGACAGTAACGCTAAGTATTTTATGTAGAAAATTACTCACAAGATACCAAACCCAGAGGCGCAGTTTTCAGTTAGCTGCCGGACCGGAAGCCGATCTCCAGGAAAAGAGAGCGAGACTTCCTGTGCGCTGTCTTTTATGCCTTCCCCCCCGTAACGCCCCTAGCCATGCCCAAAAGTGGGCTTGGCTAGTGACGTAGTTCCGCCTACGTACGTATACGTCTTTACGTCCAGCCGTATACGTCTTTAGTCCTGCCTAAAGTGGGTGTGGTTAGCGGTGTGGTAAACCGCCCTTTTATTACCTCATCTGTATGCGCCTCTAGTAAGTCACATGTTTAATGGCGGCATCTGACTTCCTCCTACAGGTTTCACTATGTAGCCTGGGCCTGGAACTTGCTACGTAGACCAGACCGGTCTTGAACTCACCTGCCTTTGCCTCTGCCTTTCGAGTGCCACCATGCCTGACTTCTCTTCTTTTAAAAAACTTGAGTTGTTCATTTTCTCCTCTCTGAAAAAACTTTTTACTTATATATTTTTAATTGATATAATTTAATTTATATAATTCTTGTGTGGGGGTACACATGCGGAAATCAGAGGGCAACTTGTGGGGGTCAGAACTCTTTCCATCATGTGAGTTGTGGGGTTGAAGTCAGGTCATCAAGCTTGATAGAGAGTGATTTAACCTACAGGGCCATCTTTCTGGCTCTGAAGAAAATCTTCAAAGTAACCATTGAAAGCTGGATTGCGACACAATCAGAGCTCTTGCCTGGTACATTGATATCTAGCATCTTTAGCACAAAAGAATATGTCAACTGATAAATGAGCTGCTCGTCTGTGTTAAATCCTTGTCTCTACTTTTCACTTTCGCCCAACTCATTCTGGCCTTGTCCTCCACTCCATGAGGCAGTCTCTTGCTTTACTGGGAGCTTTCCTTTTAGCTAGAATGGCCAGCAATCTCCTGAGGCCCACCTATCTCTACCCACCTTACTGATGTGGCAGGCACACACAACCACGCCTCACCTTTTTTCATGGGTGCTTGTAGGCAGAGTTTTTCTATCCTGCAGCTGCTCTCAAATAATCACTCAGAGGCTTACTATTCATTACAAGTGCTCAGCCCATCGCTCAGGCTTATTACTAACTAGGTCTTGCATTTTGTTAGCCCATACTCCTTATTTATGCTCTGTCATGTGGCAGTACCGTTATTAACATGGCACGTTCATCTCCTGCTCCCTCTGTGTTTGGCTGACGACTCCAGACTCCACCCTTCTTCCTCCCAGCATGCTCCAAGCGTGGCTCTCCTGCCTAACCTTATTCTGTTCAGCTACTGGCCAGCCAGCTTTCTTATTAAACAAATCACAGCAACATATAGTCACACAATATACAGGGATATTCCACAGCAGGTGCTGAGGATTCAAACTCAGGTCCTCATGCTTGCATGGCAAGCACACTTACTTACTGAGTTGAACTTGAGTTCACTTCAAGCTTACGCAGCCGGTGTTCTTACTGACTCACCATCTTCCCAGGCCCTCCTCCATCCTTCTTTTAAGCCCCATGACTAGTCACTTTCTCTAATGCATAATGCTGGCCTCCCTGTCTTGGCTCTATACCTCTGACTCTTGGTTTTTTACTTTCTAGTCTTCTTCAGTGGATTTGTTCCTATTCTCACTTCAGTCTGTCTTGTCGTAAGCTGCATAGCCTGGGGATTTGCTTTCTCCGCACTCAGGATGCCCCATTCAATTGCCTGTCTTGCTTCCCTGAAGTTGTACATGCTACGTTTTTTGGTTTGTTTTGGCTTGGCTTGACTTTTTGAGACAAATTCTCTTTGTGTAGTCCAGGCTGGCCTGGAACTCACTACATAGCCCAGACTGACCTCAAGCTTGCATCAATATTCTGCCTCAGCCTCCTCAGTGCTGAGGTCACAGTTATGAGCCGCCACACCCAGCTAGAATTGCATCTCCAATTGCTTCCAGGATATCTCCACTTAGATGTCTCACAGGTGCTGTTGAAAATTTTTCATAGATCTTTTGCCCTTGAGATGAAGTCAAGTCTGGCCTTGCCTGTGAAATGATAATAAATGGTTAAGTGGGAGCCTTTGGCGGGCCCTGCCAAGGTATGATGCTCACAGAACATGCCAAAGGCAACAGAATTAGTACAAAAGGTTTACTGGGGGAAGGGGAAGGGGAGGGGTAAGTGCAAAACTCTTCTTAGAGTGGGAGCATGAAAGAGGCTCTCAGACAGACACAGACAGACAGATAAGAGGAGCAAGGGGAGAGGACTGTGACTGACGGACACTTTTAAGGGTTGCATAGCTGACAATGGAAAGGCATCTGGCGGCCCCTAGCTCCCAGTGCTGCCTCTGCTGAGGTAGGCTGCAGCAGAGCTAACACCATGACCTTGGATCCTTCTTGGATTGGGCATCTCCCTGATTAGTCTTTTGCTCACCTCTGACCCCTCTTTTTACTCCCACCACACTTCATTTAGAGAGCCCGAGACTATACCTCAAGAAACGACAATGAAGATGCGCAGCATGAAGGAAAAGAAATCCTGCCTGGTACTGAAAACCCCTGTAGACAACTACCCAGGGCTCAGAGTCATGGATCTTGGAGCAGAACCTCCAACCACCACTTCCCTAAACCACAATGGTTTCTAACTACATTCTAAACATTCGTCCTGACACCCACAGATCACTGTGGTTCTCACCCCTCATCAAGAAAACTTCTTTTTGCAACAGACAGAGATCATTAGAGAAACCACAACCAGTCAACATGCAGAATTGTGGAGCCCGGTCCCAGCTGATACAGCTACATCACGACCCCTGCACCTAAGGCTCAGGGAACATTGTGAAAGAGGGTCCAGAAAGATGGCAGAAGCCAGAGGAACAGGGAGTTTGATGTGAGATTATGTCCCAGAGGAATGTCAGAAGCTATCTACACCCTTTAAGTCCACCAGTATGACTGCCTAACCATGAACTGAATGAGGGTGACACTAATAGACTTGCCGACATGGATAGGGAAAAGCCCCTCAAAGCCCAACCCTACACAAGGACCACAGGCGACTAGGAATGCTGAGAATGAGAGAAAGTCTTCCCCGGGGAAGAGCACACACACACAAACATTGTTCCACAGACTGAGAAAAGAGGCCAGGAGCTACAAAGAGAGAGAGGAGAGGTATGTGGGAGGGTATTTAGAGAGAGGAAGTAGAAGGGAGAATGGATGTAATTATGTTATAATCTCAAAAAATAAAAACACTAAAAAGAAAGACAGCATCTTGCCAGGTAGTCCAAGCCAGCCGACAACTGACTGTGTAGCCCAGGCTGGTTTAGAATGTCTGATCTTTCTGTCTCGGCCTTTTGAATGTTGGAGTTACAGGCATGACCCACAACATCTGGCTTTCCACTTGTTTTCTTCAGGTCTCTAGAAGGTTTAGCAGGCTCTCTCCTCATAGCAGATCCTGGGTTCCACGTGGTTTCTGTTCGGTGAGCTCCATGTATCACGTGTACCACATCTGTCCCATTCACTGCTGTCTCCCTAGTGACATGGCACAGGACAGGGTTCCAGTATGTGTGTAATTCTCAACCTTGTTGCATAAGTCACAGATGAAAGAAGCTTAAGGCCCTTTCTTTAGGCAATGGAAGTTCATTCTAACAAAGACTTGCCAGAAACAGTGACCAAGCGTGGGATTCTGTTTATTTCCCCGAATGAGTGGCCGGTGGTGGGATTCAGGGTTTTCAGAAGCTGAGAGTGATGAGATGGTGGTCACCACAGAAGGGTTTGTCCTGCACCATCCCAAGGCAGTCCTCAAATCCAGCTGTGCACTGTCGCCTCTCAGTTTTAAATCAAAGGCAGGAGAGAGCCAGGGGCAAGTAGAAATGAATCTAGTTTCCTGGCTCAGTACTCCTCCCTCTGTTCTTCCATGACAGGTGAGTGTTCCAGTGTGAGCTCATCTTCGAGAGAGAGAGAGAGAGAGAGAGAGAGAGAGAGAGAGAGAGAGAGAGAGAGAGAGAGAGAGAGAGAGAACTAAAAGGCAGTGGAAGTCATTATTCTTTACCACTTTCAGATGCAATAAAAGTGTTCTTGCACACGCCTTTAATCCCAGCACTCCGGAGGCAGAGGCAGGTGGATCTCTGTGAGTTCAAGGCCAGGCTGGACCGACAGCCTCTAAAACAATACAGAGAAACCCTGTCTCATAAAACCAAAAAAAAAAAAAAAGTATTCTCAAATGTGGGACTGAGATGAACTCAGACTGTTGCCATGTTCTCCATGATGGAAGCCAATTGGAACGGCCACCCTTCCCCATCCTTCCCCATCCTTCCCCATCCTTCCCCATCCTTCCCCTTCCTCCTCCTGCCTCACCTCCCTCTGCTCCCTTCCTCTTCTCCCCCTCCTTCATTTCTGCCTTTCTTCCTGTCTTGGGTAAGCAAGGTAGTTTGGGTTTTTTTGTTGTTGTTATTGTTGTTGCTTTGTTTTGTTTTGTTTTTGCTGTGCTTGGGATTTGGAGGGCAGGGGTGACTAGAATTTATTGTAAGCAGATGAGTGGGCCTTGTGCAGTAGATTGCCTGGCCCTGGGTCCTGGGGCTGTAGAGGAATAAGAAGGGCTGTAGAGGGGCAACTCGGCATGTGGTGTGGGACCCCAAGTTCAGTGAGAATGATGAACATTTGGTGAAAGGGGGTATTCCCAAGGTCCTGGAAGGGACTAGAGTCCGAGGCTAGGAATATTTCCACTGAGAAGCCTCACAGGACGATCCTGGAACCCTGAGCACTTTCAGGATGTTTTGTTGGATGTCTGGTTGGTTTTAAGAAAGGGTCTCACTGTAGCCTGGACTGGGCTGGAACTCCAGATGTTCCTCTCTTCCTCCCGGGGTCTGCGATTCGAGACACACACCTCTACATCCTGTTTTAGTTCGAGGATTCTAAATCCAGGCATTGCATCCAAAGCTACCAAGGTGGGTGTTTTAAGGTAAAGGCTACATCCACATCCTCCTTTATTTGACAGTTTGATAGTTTGCTTTAGAAACGCCAGTACAGAGGCCTTCTTTGGTTCTCTGGCTGGGGTCCTAAGATCAGAAGGGCGGGCTTGTTGAGATGCTTCTCCGGGAAACCTAATTTTCTTACTCATTATTATAAAAACAGAAATTAAGCAAGCAGTTTTAAAAGCCCTTTGGGCCTGGGCTGTGCCTTTTGCCACACTCTTGTAAACTGCCAGTCAACATTTCATAAGCCAAGTTGGCACAGGGCTAATTCCACTCTGGGAATGGCCATATTCTGATGAGCAGCCACTTTAGAGCCAGAAGTCATGACTGGAGATGGCCTGATCTGATTTGAGGACCACGAGTCCCTTCCACATTTCAGAATAGGCAGGTCACTGGCTCAACTCTGCGCAGACTGAGCCTCACGGCTCTCGTGTGTGATCTTCTACGTGACTTACCTTGTCCTACAGAAACCAAGTGTGGAATTCCACTTACCAAAGACGGGCTCTTCCTGGTTGGCAAAGTTGGTATTGTTCTGAAAGGTGAATCTGAAGCCACTCTGACTCTGCCTGTCCTTCCATTTCCTCTGTCCTGTTCTCGTCCCCTCCCTCCCTCTAGTCAAGCAGGTACAGAAGAACAAAGCCACAACAAAAAAGAGTGGAAATGTCTTCCTTCTTGGGAGGAAAAAGAAGAAGAAATTAGTTGCAGGGAGGAAGCAGGTTATTGCACCTGGAGCCTAGAAGCCCTGCTGCTGCATCTCCTGCTAAGAGGGTCTGTGTCCCTTCACAAATCTAGACGCTTCCCCCAGCTCTGTCTTCATCCACGGTAACCTGAGTGGACAGCCCTTTGATCTTTGATCCTGTAGAAGCGACTCTCTGCATGGGCTGAGTGAAGAAGGAAAAGTACAAAATGTCATGTGAGGATGTTTTATGCATGGGAAACAGCATTAGAGCGGCAAAGGGAGAGCAGGGTCACACTGCGCACGCGCGCCAGGCCTATCTATACCACACTCACAAGGCTTCCCGGCATCAGATTATAAAGCAGTAACCCCAAAACTTTTGGCTGTGGCCGAAATTGACTCCATTTTAAAGAAAACTCTGATGAATAGCAAGACTGAGAAATAGTCACACTCACAAAAGAGTCCCTTTCAGTTGAGAGACTCTGGAACCCTGATATTTTAGAGTTCAGGAGTATCGGTGCTCAGGTGAACACGGGAAAGATTCCACTGTCTTCGCTCATGTTGAAATAAATTCTGGTACAGCCCAGTCTGGTCCGGGGTCACATAGAACACATTATCTTAATTTGATCTTGCATTAGTTGTGGTCACACAGGTTACAAACACAGGGTTTTCAAAAAGCTGTTTTCTTTGGCCGCATACAAGAGATTGGAAAGCTCACAGGCCTAGGAAGGATTGATAAACACCGTTAGTGACTCATTTAATACCAGGCTGGTGAGAAAGAGGCACTATAGACACCTGAGGCCAGAGATAACTGAAGGAACGCCTCAGAGGGTTAGGCAGAGCGAGGGAGGCCTGACAGGACCAGGGATCTGTTTCCCCACAGCAGCAGGAGAGCAGAGTGGAGTGAGGACAGAGCTCTGACAGAAATGCAGATCTCACAGGAACCACCACAGGATGCAGCTCCCTCAGCGCTGCCCCAGCTGAGGTTCTGCCCCTGCCCAGCACCAGCCTATCCCCACCATCTCAGAGCCTGAACCAGCTGCAGGGACCCTCGGCATCCCAGTGTCCTGAGGAACTCCACTCTCTCCCTCCCAGCCCAGTGGCTGAGGGAAGTGTCTGCCTCACCTTCAACACTGTCCTCATCCTGAGAAAGGCCAGCTCCTGCCTGTTTCCTCTGGCTCTCCTGGGAGCTAAATCCAGGCTTGGAAAGGAGTGTTCTGTGAACTCTGGAGAGGAAGTAAGAAACGCTGTGTCTGTCATGCAAATGTGCTCACAGGGACCTCTTCCTTCTGTTGCACACCTGGTCCAAACTGGATGCTAATGAAGTTTGCTCCTGGAGGAGGTCAGAGCATCCTTGCAGGAATGCAGATCCTGGCCTCTGCTTCTCCCCAGGGGAGGGGCATCACTCTGAGGGCTCTGCATGTCCACATGCCAGGAGATGCTGATTCCAAACTCAGCTTGCACAGCTGTGTCCGGGTGACCTGGTGACTCTGGACAGCAGAGACTCTGACATGTCTTTGTGTCTGCCACATGCTAACCTTGAACCTGGGAGGGATGGGGTTATTATACAGGGCATGGACAAGCCAATCCGGAGAGGTTTCCATTGACTTTCCATAGCTTTCTGATCTTGTCCGTATAGATGATGACATTAGGTGGGTCAGTACACAAAACTATGGAAATACAACCCTACTCTGTGGAACTGGTGTTAGGAGTGTGCATACGCAGCTCACCAGACCTTGGGACAGAATCCACCTCCCTGCTCCCACATGAGCTGGGAGCTGAATTTAGATGTCGTGACACAGAATAGCAGCTCAGAGGCCACCCCTGAGTACAACAACGAGTCTCTGCCAATTCTCTGGAATCTGTTCTTTCAACAATGTCCCCAATATCCAAGAACAGTAGAAACACTTCTGTAAGCTTAGCTCTTTTTGTTAGTTTGGTTTTTAGTTTGGGGGTTTTTGAAACAGGGTTTCTCTGTGTAGCCCTGGCTGTCTTGGAACTCTGGATGTAGCCCAGGATGGCCTCAAACTCAGACATCCCCCTGCCTCCGCCTCCCAAATGTAAAGGCCTACAGCAGCACCACTAGGCTGTCAGCTTCGCTTTAAATAACTTCAGTCCCAGCTCACAACGAATGCGGTTTTACAGATTTACTGTACGTGTTACAAAGCTCAAAGCAGATACCACTGGATTAGCCCTTCCCTGTCAGAGAGAGGACTCGCTCTACACGGTAGCATCTACAGGGAGTAAGTCAGCATCCCCCATCCCCAAACTGATCCCTACCTCATTGCCCACTGCTAAAGCAGACCCCAGGCACTGCTTACCCTCAGCTGATGGCTACAGTGGTCATGGAATAACGCCGCTAGGATGTTGGGAGGGAGAACTTGGCATGGCTGAAGCCAAAAGCACAATACCAGAGCAAGCCCCATGGACTGGCCAGATTTTAAAGACTGCATGAAATGATTATGGGAGCAAGGAGCTAGGGAAGGTGGCTTTGGGAAGAGCTGTTTTGCTTTGTGTTTTTGTCACACTGGCAACAGTGAGCTTCCAAATGAGAAAGAGCTTAACATTTTTGAAGAGTCAAACATGTTGGAGATAGAGAGGGAAAAACGCAGCCACCTCTGCTTAAAAAAAAAAAATAAAGACGTGTTTTAAATTATGTGTATCTGTTTGCCTCGGGTTGAGGGCTTGTGAGCAAAGGTGGAGAGAGAGCCCTAGGCTGAGCGTGGCAGCCACGGCTCGAGCAGGCCTTGCCCTGCCCCATTCCCTCTTTCTTGCTGAGAACCACTAGATTAGCAGGGCAGTGATGGCGCACACTTTTAATCACAGCACCTGGGAGGCAGAGGCAGGTGGATCTCTGTGAGTTCAAGGCCAGCCTGGTCTACACAGAGTAACCCTGTTGTTGGGGGGCACATTAGATTACATTCCTAAAGTTAGCCCCCAAGATCTAGTCCATTATTTGGCCACTTCCTCCTCCTGAAGCTGACTATTAAGGTTCAACTTTCAAAGTATTGAAGTTCAGTAATCAAAAGTCCCCTTTGGCTGCCCTAATTATATGCTTAGTCAAAACTTCATCCTAGTATGGGGCTTTCCCTTTTTCCCTGCCTGAACTGCTATTTGCCAACGGGCCATGTCTGTCTCCTTTCTGTCCAGAGGCAGTCCTTGTCACTCCAGGGCAAATCTCCCTTCCCCTTTCCCTGGTTCCCTTTCCCTTCTCCCTCATCCTCTATCTCCTGTCTTTGTCTCTTATTCCCTGTCCTTTGTCCCTCTGGGGCAAATAAATTTCCCTTGTGCTGAGAACTTGGTCTTGGGATGTCTCCTGCTGACTCCAGTGCTTTCACTGGCGCCCCCTACAGGCAATCCTGAGCCACCCGACAGGGGTGCTGAGAGCCAACCCCAAGTCCTCTGCCAAAGCTGCACATGCTCTTGACTGCTGAGCCATCTCCCCAGACCTGCTTTGTTCTCATCTCTCATTCCACAAATGTTTGCACTATGCCAACAGTATTCTAGACTGTTTGGGAGAAATGGGCAACACTTTCCACTAAGGGGCTCGGAGTTCAGCGGAGGAGGTGAGGCGCACCACGTGAATATCTAGTGTGAGACAGTGTGATCCAGGCTGGAAAGGGCATCTGCCCGGGACTTCAGTGGTGTGATGGGCATTATGTGGGCAGCTGGCGCTTGAGCTGAGTGTGACCAGGAGAAGGTAACGGTCACAGCGCACGGATGGCCCTGGAGAGAGCTTAGCGGTTAAGAGCAGTGGCTGCTCTTGCAGGGGACTTGGGTCCAGTTCCCAGCACCCATAACATGCAGCCCACACCTTTCTGTAGCTCCAACGCCCTCTTCGAGACTCCGAGGGCACTTGCACACACGTGGTACACAGACATACACTCAGGTACACACACGTATACCGCCAACAAAATAATAAGTAAATCTAAGAAAAGGAAAAGGAAACTGTGAGGATGGGAGCAGGTTCTAAGCCTCTCCTCTGTGAGGTCACCCTCACCCCTTCTGGTTTCCTGTGATTGGTGCAGCTTCCTTGTAACAGTTACGTTGTACAACCAGCACGCCGTCTCCTCAGTAAACTTTAAGTTCCTTTAGGGAGGAGCCCCTGCCCTGCCATGCCTGTTTCCCTGACATTTAGTAGTGCTCCTGACTGGTCTACCCACTCGGTAAAGTCTTGAGGGAGGAAAGAAACCAAGTAAAGCCTGCCTTCAGGGACCAGAAGGTGTTACAACCTGGCAGGGATAAAAGATTCGCGAAGAGGAGCAGTGGGTGTTGGGGAAGTCTTTGTCAATAAAGCACTGTTGAGCCAATAGGAATCTAGATAGGTGGGACTAGGAGTCCAGGAGGATTCTGGGAAGGAGAAACACAGGAGAGTTCGAGATGTAACCGCCATGGGGTAGGAAGCCCGGAACTATTCTCCGGTAAGAGAAATACTTAGATTAACAATTATGGGGTACTTATTTAAGTCAGAGCTAGCCAGTAAGAAACAAGCAAGGCCAACAGCTTCATAATGAATATAGCCTCCTGTGTGTTTATTTGGTACTGATGCGGCTCTAGAACCAGGCTGGCGGGAAGGCTTCTCTCTCAAAGAAAAAGCTTCCTTTAACAAGTGGGAACTAAACCTACAAAAGTAGGGTGGTGAGGAGGCCTGATGGTATCAAGTGTGAGTGGAGAAGGAGGTCAGTGCAAACGCCTCCAGCACTGGCGAGGCTGGCAGATCAGTCATCGAGGACAGACATTTCGTCAGTATCTCACAAGACACCCAGGTCCCACGTGCCAGGTCCCAGCTCTAGTGAAACGCCTATGTGTGTACACAAGAGACATACAGAGTATTTTCATAAGCCAGGTGTGGTGACACGTGCCTTATTCCCAGCACTTTGGAGGCAGAAGAGGCGGATCTCTGTGAGTTCAAGGCCAGCCTGGTCTACAGAGTCAGTTCCAAGACAGTCAAGACTACACAGAGAAACCCTGTCTTTAAAAAAAAAGTAAAATATTTATAGCAAAAACTTGGAAGTAAACTCAGCATCCGCCTGTAACTATACATACCTGTATCATTGTGGAGAATGGTATAAACACAAACTCAAGGCTGTAGGGAAAACAATATTATCTTGTAAGGATTAATCCATACTATGGTTATAAAGTGACGACTCTTTATTTCAACATTCTTGCTGTTGCATTTCCTATTGGCATTGTTTCTTTAAAAAACTATTTATTTTTATCTGTGTGTGTGTGAGTGGTGTGTGTGTGTGTGTGTGTGTGTGTGTGTGTGTGTGTGTGTGTGGGTATGAGTCAGGGTACCCATGGAAGCAGGACCCTGTATCAGGGTACCCATGGAAGCAGGACCCTGTTGTATCACTGGAGCTAGAGTTGCAGGTGGGTGGTTGTGAGCCACCTGATGTAGGTCCTGGGCGCAGAGCTCCAGTCCCCTGTGGGAGCAGCCCAAGCCCACTGACCTGTCCAGTCCCTCAATGGCTTTCTTTGTAAGGATGGTTTTCCTCTCTTCCCTAATCCTCCAGCCTTCTCAACATCGACACAAGCACACGCTTCCCTGCAATGTTCTCTCTCTAGGTTACAATGTGTTGCTATTACTACATCCTGCCCTAGGAAGAATGACTAAAATACCTTTATTAGATATAAGGAGACTAAACAAAGATTACAGGGTGGTGAAACAGTCAGTAGGTACTAACCCTCAAAGCACGAGGACCCGAATTCTAGCCCCAGGACCTGTGTAGAAACTTGTATGTACAGACTAAGCGGTTAAGATCCATAAAACAGCTAACAACAAGTGCTGGGGGCGTTGTGGGGAAGGTGAGTCCTCATGCACTGTTAGCAGAATTGCAAAGTGATGTATATATACGTATATGTATATATATGTATATATATAGACACTCTGGAAACCAGTGTGGAAAATTCTCAAAAAGCTAAAAATAACCCTACCAGATACCCAGCTATATCACTCCTAGGCATGTGCCCAAAGGACTTGACATCCAACTCCACAGACACTTGCTCAGTCAAGGTCACTGCTACTTTAGTCACAACAGCTAAAAAATGGAAACAACCTAAATATCTTTCAACTGACTATGGGTAATGAAAACGTGGCTCCCAAACACTACGGAATACTGTGAGGTTGTCTGCTAGAAAAGACTGGGAGCTGGGCTTTGTTGGCGCACGTCTTTAGTCCCAGCACTCGGGGAGGCAGAGGCAGACGGATCTCTGTGAGTTCGAGGCCAGCCTGGTCTACAAAGCGAGTTCCAGGACAGCCTCCAAAACAATACAGAGAAACCCTGTCTCGAAAAAAGAAAAAGAAAAAACTGAAAAACTATATCCACAGTAACACCTCAACAAAATGAATGCCAAAACAAGATGGAAAAGACATTACCATTAGTTGTGCTGATTGGAAGAGTGAATTCTCACAGGGGCCCTGCTCACAAAGAACTATAGACAACTAAAGATTGCTGAAAGAGGGAGAAATAGCCTTCCCTAGAGATGAGACCCCTAACTGGTTATCTAATACCAAGTGGTCAGCCGTGAAATACACCTATGAGCAACACTGATAGACTCAGCAGGCTGTATTTATATGGTTTTGCATATATATGTAACAATAACCAAGAAAAAGATGCCAAAAATTTGAGAGGAGTAAGGAAGGGGACACAGGAGGGCTTGGAGAAGAAAAAGGGAAAGGGGAAATGATGCAATTATTTTTTAATTAAGTAAAAAAATGGAAAAAGAAACTAGGCTAAGGTGTGAAATGCTATTATTATCTTAGAATCACAATGTCAACTACTTAGATATTGATTTTCTCCTTGCATTTGTGTGGTTCTTTTAAACAATTGATAACTAAAAATAAATGTGGCTCTCATTATCTTGTTGGGAAAAAAAAAGCTGGGGTGGGGGCGGGGAGGGACTGGAGAGATGGCTCAGCATTTAAGAGCACTGACTGGCTGCTCCTCCAGGGACTTGAGTTCAGGTCTAAGCACCCAGACCAGGCAGTTCAGAACCATCTGTAACTCCATTGCCAGGGGATCAACTACCTTAGGTGCAAGTGATGCCCAAAAATAAATAAATAATAAATAAGCAAAATTTTAAAAATTAAAGAAAAGAAAAACCTAGGTGTGGTGGAGCCCACTTGTAATCCCAGTCTGGGGAAGAAGAGATAGGTGGATCCCTAGGGGTCACTGTCCCGCTAGCCTAGCTTGGTCAGTGAGCCCCAGGTCCTAGTGGGAGACTGTCTCAGAAAGAGAGAAACAGGAAAAAGGTAGATGTCCACAGAAGGATGACATCCAGGTCCAAAGTTGTCCTCTGGCATCCACATCCATGCTCACATATGTGCATGTACACACATACCCACGTGAACACACGTACGAACGACCCTCACATACAAAATTAACTATGTGATCATTGAATGGCTCCTGGCTGGCTGTTCCTTTTACCATACTGTTGGTCGTGAGCCGTTAGCAGCTGAGCCGTCTCTCCAGCCATTGCTTCTACTAGAAAGACTGTTGGTGGCACTCCGGTGAGATGGTGGTAAGGCCTGTGTACTCCTAATGGGGGAGACGAGCCCTGAATAAGTACACGCTTGGGTTTCAATTCTGCTTTCCCAACTATAAAATGGGGGCTACTGTGTCTTTCTTAGAGTGTTAAGACTTAATGCATAGAACACAGTAGGTCCCCAACTAATAGATTACTCTCCCGACTGCATGATCCTCAGGAATAAGGACTGTAGTTTATTAATCTCGCACAGGGCTTGGAATCTAACAGGGTCTCAGTTACTGCTGGTTGGGGATTGAGTCAACAGTGAAGGAGTGAAAAATGAACCTCGTCTATGACTTCACATACAAGGCTGTGCCACAACTTCACATCTGACCCTTAATAGCAATGCAATCGAAACAGTCAAAGACACTTCTGTTCAGCAGGCATTGGAAAGAAGCTAGAACATTCCTTAATCCAAAGGGGGAACACCAAGTCCAAGTCTTGGGTAAATGAAAGAAATCCAGACCTTAGCTGCCCTAACAGGCAAACACAGTTGTCCAGCTATCTTTGCACAGAGAAAGGTAGAAACCGTTCTGGCAGAACTTCCCTCCCAAATAAGTCATCCGCCACCAACAGTTGGATGGGTGTTGAGGTCAGAGCTCAGTGGAGAGCGCTTGGCAGCACACAGGGTGGCCCTTGGGTTTGGAGGCTGCTGTCCTCGGAGTGCAAAAGCAGATCAGAGAAAACCCAGGGCGGAGCCACAGAGTGGTCACTGCCCCAATCCTTGCCCCATGGCTAACCAAACCAACCTGTGGTTCACTGAATGACACATTGCTGGAGGCGTGGGTAGGCCTCCACCTCTTCACTTCTGGTTGGTTCTTCTGGAACACTGGTGCTATGGGACCTTGCTGACAGTCACCGCCTTAACTCGACGTGATCAGACAGCAGATGACACTTCTGTGGTGATGTCAGGAGACTGTGTGTTCTTTGTTGTCTGTTTCAGTGATTCTGCAGATTGGGAGAATCGGAGCGAGGTGCCTCAGAGCCTTGACAAAGAACACAGACCGCTTAGGATGAGTTCCCCAGGAGAGAAAAGTGACCCAATCCATTACATCACATGACAGTGGGAGAGGAATGTGTGGGAGTTAATCCAGTAAGACTTGAGGGGGAAGAAACGGTCAAAATTCATCATGCATATGTATAAAATTCTAGAAGAATAAATTTAAAATTACATTTAAAAAGTAGACAGGGTATGCTCTTCCAAAAGACTGGGGTTCAATTCTTAGCACCCATATGGCATCTAACCACTACTTATAATTCTAGTTTCAGGAGCTCTGACACCCTTATGTGGCCTCTAAGGACATCGGGCACACATGTGCTACACAGACATACATGCAGGTGAAGCTTCCGCACATATAAAATAAAAACAGTCTCATAAAAAAGGAAATAGCCCTAAGTTCTGAGTGCCATGATAACCCCCATTTTCCCGTCTCAGGAGAGTTTGTGGTTTGCCTGGGGGGTGTTAATAAACCCGGGATTCAGGAGCAAATATGTCTGCCTCCACAGTGGACGGATTGTGTTTGGCTCCAAGGACAGAACTGTATCCAAGGAGTGAAGTTACAGGCAAAACTCAGGCTCCATGAAAGGTAGTCCTCAACTGCCACTGTTTTTGATATGAAATGGGCAAGTTGACAGACGGCTTTCACTGCTGGGGGTGTCTGCTTAGACAGGCAGGCTGCCCGTGCAGGGTGGGGTTGGCCTGTTCTGCTTTATCCTCGCAGCTGTGGCGAAGGGTGGATTGCTTTACTTATTTATAAGGGTTACATGAGGCCAGGGAGTGGAAGGAGTCAGAGTCTGTCAAACGCCAGCCTGTCAGTATGACACCTACCTTTTTAGGACCTCATTCAAGACACCCTTTACAGCCTGGACGAACAATGTAAATGCTCTGGAGCGGTTGGTCAGATCACTTTTCTGTTCTTGAATAAAAATAAATTTCCTCTATGTACACTGAATCATGCTTCCTACTTGCAGTAGCCTCAGGTCAACTTCACCATTGCCCAAGCAAGCGCGTCATAACTCCGACAGCTGACACTTGTTACTCACTGGGTTTGGTATGCATTGTCTCCCACAATGCCGACAAAAATCTGAGAAAGTAGGAACTACTGCCTCATTTGATGTAGATAACCTGAAATCCAGGTTACCTAACCTCTTCAAAAGTCACAGAGCAGGCTAGCAGAAGGGAAATTCCAACTCACCTCTCCCTCACTGCAAAGGCCAGGGATTTAACTGCCCATTCTTCCTTACACAAACGGACCACTGTACAGCCTACATTCTTCTGATAAAGAACTCTGACTCTTCCAAATGTCACTCCAAATATTCAGAATCGTGCATGTTTATAAGGTGTCTTCCTGAACAAACGCTGTTTGAAGGGCTTCCTATGTGAGTCGGAAGATGACCTGGGAAAGCACTTGGTAAGGTTGAAAACAAACAGCAATAACAGCACCAAAGAAACTTAAAAAGTCTTCATTCTGGTGTCAAACGGGTAAATCTGTATCAAGAGCCATACTCCAAGCCCGAAGTGTGACACCAGCCTATAAATTCAACTCTCCCATGGTTGAAACAGGATTAGAAATTCAAGGCGAACATGGGCAACAAAGCTAGGTCACCTCAAATGGAAAAATCCAGGGTTGGGCAATTGTGAAGCTAATTGTCCAACCATGAGTCACTCGGTGGAGTGACTGAAATACTATCAAAACCAATGCAAAATTTTATCCATGTTATTACAACTACATCTTTTTCAAATGGTTTTAGATTTACTTATTTTAATTTGTGGTTCCCCTGCATGTGTGTAGTGAATGTGTATGGGTGTTTTATTTGCATATATGTCTTCACATTATATGTGCACCTGATGTCCATGGAGGCAAGAAGTAGGGAGTCAGATTCCCTGGAACCGGAGTTAGAGGGGGTTATTAGCTGCTATGTGGGTGCTGGGAACTGAACTCAAAACTTCTGGCAGAAGAGTGCTCTTAACTGCTGAGTCATGTCCTTAGTCCACTAAGTCTTTCTCTTTTTCTCACTATATCTTTTTTTCAACCATATAGTGAGTTAAACACAAAGGGCTATGGGCATAGCTCAGCGGTAGAGGGCTTGCCTAGCATGAATAAGGTTCTAGGTTTACTCTCCAGCAACAAGAACAAAAGAACGAAAGGGAAGGAGGGAGGGGCCAAGAAGAAGAATTAGAACAGCATTAATAAAATATTTATTATTTTTATTCAGGTACGTGTATTTGTGTATCTGTGTGAGTGAATGCCTCATGTGTGCAAAGTGCTTCCAAGGCCAGAAGAAAGCATCAGATCTCTGAGAAGTGGAATTACAGTTGTGAGCTGCCCAATATAGGCACTGGGAACCAAACACCGTTCTGTAGATCAGGAAGCACTCTTAATCATTGAACTATTAGCAATTCCAATGAAAACCTATTATTAGTGGTTCTCCTGGGGTGTTGTCTGTTGGTTGGTTTGTTTGTTTGTTTGTTCATTTGTTTGAGACAAGGTAGGTTCTGCTATGTAGCCCAGGCTGGCCTCTAAATGAAGATCATTTTTTTGTCTTTTTTTAATTTAAATTAGAAACTAGGTTGCTTCACATGTCAATCCTAGCGCTCCCTCTCCCTCTCCCTCCCTTCCTCCCACACCCTCCCGCCAACCCTCCTCCCCCAATTCCTACTCCTTTCCCCAGGGAGAGTGAGGCTATCCATGAGGGGGTGTCCATAGTCTGTCATTTCATCCAGGGCAGGGCCTGGGCCCTCCCCCAAGAGTCCAGGCTGAGAGAGCATCTCTCATTGTGGGATGGGCACCCAAAGTCCATTTGTATTCCCTGGGAAAAATACTGATCTACTACCCAAGGCCCCACAGATTGCCTAGGCCTCCTCACTGACACCCATATTCAGGGGGTCTGGATCAGTCCCATGCTGGACTCCCATCCATCAGTCTGTGGTTCAAGAGCTCCCCTTGTTCAGGTCAGCTGTTTCTGTGGGTTACACAAGACCAATGGAGATCATTCTTGTTCTTGTTGAGTATTGGGATACAGTGGGATATCATATCTGACTTTCAATCTTGTCCTACTGCTTTCCTGCCAACAAGCTCTGGTTAACATCTTTTGGCCATTCCTGGAACTAGTTAGCAATCTCCCTAAAGGTTCTAGTAGCCCAAGATCTTGGCAGAGCAGGAGGAGCAGATCCAAACATACCTATGGATGCTAAGTCAGTGTGCCAGACCTGCCCAGGGAATGAGGTACTGAAACCAGATGCCTGAAACTGGAGACAGGACTAGGCACATGGTGCACTTGCCATCAGCTTCAGGGATGTCCGGTTCTAGTCAATTCTGAATGCAGAAACAATAGAGACCACAGCTTACAATTTTGGTACAGACTTAGTGAATGATTGCTCAATTCTTAGTGGAGTTTATTAAGAAACCAGTCAAATCTGGTGATCTAAACGTCCATGGAAACTGGGTAGTCTTCACAATCACATAGGAAAATATCCCCCCCCCCCGCAAATAGCATTGCATTGTGCTGTTCAGGAGCTCTAAGTAGTAGCGCTCCCTTAAGTCAACGTTACAAGAGATGTCTAAAACCTTTCTTTAAAGCTGTGGACTTTGAGGAGGAGAGAGAGTTGCTTCAAGACACTAGATATAGGCTGTCAGGCAAGTCCTGCCTGGGCACAGGGGTTTCCTTGACAGATGGTTGTTCACATGCCCCAGTAAAAGGTCACAGACTATCAAGGACAGATTTCTTGTGGAGCTGGAAGAGTTGGGACATGCACAAAAGGGGTCATGCCAACCCACCATGTCATGCACCACCCTAGCAATGTTGGGAGAGCTGCCCAGGCTGGAAGCAGCGTCACACTGTGACCTCACTTCCCCTGCACGAGTGCAGCCCCAGCCATGAGGGGCATTAATACCCCGTGGCAACCAGGGACGGTAACACACGACCAAACCATATGTGCTCCTCATGCCAAGAACTGACTCTTTGTGGAGTTACTGGGTCTGTTATAGGAGCCTCACCATTGGTTGATTTATGAAGTATTGATAAACAAAGTCTTAGAAGCCTCTGGAATCAGCTTTGGTCACTCTAGGAAAAGGCGTCATCTTCTTTACTGATGGGCTTGCTCGCTCAGGAAAAGACAGAAATGGATCCATATTAAGGGAAAATATAAATCAGTAATTAATTTGTGGATTGACTTAATTTTTATTTAATGAAAAAATTATATTTATTTACTTAATTATTTGCTATTCATCTATACAATTGTTAGTTATTTATCAACTAAATAATTGTTGATAATTAAATAAGTATTTACTTATTAATTATTGAAACAATATTTTTAGAAAATTCGAAGGATGTAAGCAGAAGCTATATCATCATCACTTGGAAAGACATGAACTTCCTGAAACATATTTCCCAGCTTTCACTGGGCTTCAAGAACCCAAAGTGAGACCCATAGCTGGTCCATGTGCAGAAAATAAGTGCTTAAGGCTAAATGGGATATTTGTAGCTCATCCCATACACCCAAGGCTCAGGGATCATTTGGAAAAAGGAGAAAAAAAGACTGTAAAAACCACAGGTTATGTATGTCTGAATGGTAACAAATTTGTTGGTCATGACAGGGCCTTTGCACATGGGAACTAACAGTATCTGTAACTGCATGCACAAGTCCCGCACACGATCAAGCCAGTCCAAACCCTAGCATGTATGAGAGAGGCTCTTGTGAAGTCCCAGTCCAAACCCTAGCATGTATGAGAGAGGCTCTTGTGAAGTCGCCCTTAGTGAAGGAGCTGTTGGAGCTGATGGCTGCGGGGAGATGGAGAGCCAGTATTCTTCAGAGCTGAAGCCCTAAAGAGACTCCCTTGTCCCAGTAGTTTGACCTACACCTATGCACATACAAGCAGCAGTAATAGACTTGAGTAATAGAGAAAGAGCACAAGCAGTTGGGAGAGAAAGTTGATGGGATTATGGGAGTCTTGGAAGGGAGGAAATGGGGAGGTGGGGAGGGAGGAAATGGGGAGGGAGGAAATGGGGAGGTGGGGAGAGTTGAGGGAGGAAATGGGGATACATATAGGGAGTGTTGATTGGAAGGGAGGAAATGAAGGAAGTGGGGAGATGAGGAGGGTTGGAAGGGGGAAATGGTGAGTTTGATCAAAATATAATATGTGCAACCAACAAAAAGGAGGGCAGAGGATAAGTACCCAAAGTTTCAGAAAATGAAGGCCTCAAAAAATCTTTGCCCCGGGCCGGGCGGTGGTGGCACACGCCTTTAATCCCAGCACTGGGGAGGCAGAGGCAGGCAGATCTCTGTGAGTTCGAGGCTGGGCTGGACCAACAGCCTCCAAAACAATACAGAGAAACCCTGTCTCGTAAAACCAAAAAAAAAAAAAAACCCCAAAAAAAAATCTTTGCCCCTGTGAAGATGGGACGCAGGTGACATAGAGCACCAGAGAGTAAAGAGGAGGCCAAATCTGAGGACAAGAGAGAGAGAGAGTGAGAGAGACAGAGACAGAGACAGAGACAGAGACAGAGACAGAGACAGAGACAGAGACAGAGACAGAGAATGGAGAAATGGGAAAGCCAAGCCAGGACTTAGAAATAGTCAGCAAAAAACAGTTCCTGATCCAGTCTTGCCAAGAGCTTCTCCTGCTGTTATTCCGAAGGCAGATTCGTTTCTCATGAAGGCACCAGCAGCGTCGCTCAGCGTGACTATTCCCAGGAGCGCCCAGGGGCAGGCAGGAAGGACACTTTAGGGCATCCTGAAAGCTCTCTACTAGTGTGGTGTTTCACACATCACTCAAGCAGAAGCCTCCATGGCTCTTGTATAACTTCATACAGATGTGAGAGCATCTGGAGATAGTGGCATGGTGTGCACAAGACTTCTCGTGGTGAAACACAGAGATTTGCCATTCTCTGAGTGATCTGACATTTTACCTAGTACAGGGACTACTAGGTAAACATTTAATAACGATACTCCCAGTTTTATTTTTGTTATTTCACAATGAAATGGGATTCTTATTAAACATTTTGCCTTTTTATTTGTCTTTAGGGGCAATAATTTTCAAATAGCCATAGCCCAAGGTCTTAGCTGGCCAGTGTTTCATCCTCAACCCCACAAAAGTCCAGGGTAAGAGCCAAACTGTGAAAACAAACACTCACACTAACAGCACTAGCTTTGGGCAGTC